AAAAATATATATAATCTATCACACCTTAAATACAGCTCATTGTTGCTTGAAAGCTCCACTGGTAAAGGTATTCAACAGGAAGAGTCAGCAAAAAACTAATGCTAGGAGGCACTCCTGTGCCAAAACCCAGTATTGCTGGTGGAAATAAACTTTTCCCTCGGTGCAAAACAATGCCAGCGCTGACACGGGAAGGGTCTCGCTTCACAAATTCACCCAACACAGCTGCGGGAAAAAGAGCCCTCTCTCCCTCCCCTGGTCCTCTCCCCCAGCTTATCACACAAGAAAAAACACGATAAAATTCAGAAGAGCATTGTCAAAGCTCCCAGCAGAAAGCTAAAAGCGAAAAAAACGCCGCCTCCACGTGGACCAGGGGTTACAAGGAGCCCACGAAGGCCGTCACAAGGCACCAAGACTTGATAATTCTCCTTGTATTTAAATAATACAAGGAACGATACGCTAATTCGTCGATGACAAACGTGCAGTCGCTCGCAACGCAGACCTGTTCTCAGTGCCACCTCCTACACAGCCGAGGAACCTCTGAGGACACGCAGGGAGGCTCCAACTACCTGAGTGGCTCCGCACTCCCCACACGCCAGCGCCGACCTTCCCGAGTCGAAGAACGAGGCTCCCTACAACTGAGGGGGCCAAACAACGCGCCGAAAAAGACACAGGGAACCTGGGGTTTAACATTTCTGCTCCCAGGTTTTAACAGCTCAAGGTAAGGAAGTCACCGGCTCAGCTCCGAGCCCGCGGGCACTCACAGCCGCAGCTCCTCGAAGGACTTCACGGAGTAGAGCGGTGACGTGGGATCCCTCTGCAGCACCTCCACTTGGTTGGTTGTGTCCACTAAGTTACTGCGGATGAGCTTGTTCAGCAAAGACTGGGCAGCTCTGTCCTCTGTTGGAAAAGGAGGTAGGAAAAATAAAAATAAAAATGAATCACAGCCTCTCTCAGGTGGAGCTCGCACAGAAACGTTGCCTTACAGGGCCGGTTAAAAAGCACAAGATGGATCCAAATACTGAAATTCTCTGTTACAGAGCAAATACTGGAATTCTCTGTTAGAGAGCAACGTCATAACTGAGTCCAAACTTTCTGGATGAGATATTTCATTGAGATAATCCCAGAGATCCTCAGCCGGCAAGCAAACCCAAGCAGGCACCGCTTTAACAGGGACCTTAACAGACCCAGAACTCTGCTTATTTAAGATATTATAGCTTAGCTTCGCACTGGAAGGCGGGACAGGGTTAAAAGCCTCTTAAAGCCTCACTATTATCCCACACGTGGGCAGACATCTTTTAGGCACTTTTTTTTGGTCTTCTTTTTAAGGAAAGTTTGCAGAAAAACGCTACTTGGAAAGATTCTGGGGCTGCCAAGAGTAAACGAGATCCCAACGGGAGATTAAACCTCTGCCCTTTGGTGTTTTGCGAACAAATCCGTTTTCTCAAGCCGCCTCCTGCGAGATTTAGAGGTGTCACCCAGCTCCTCGCAGCAGCTGCTACAGGTTATCCAACCGCTCCTGCTCACAGCCCTACTTCCGAGGATGCTGCTCTCCCCTGATTTCCCTCCACTCTAATCCAGGAATCTCCCAAGTTATTACAGGACCCGACGGATTTAAAAGCATTATGGAGGGAGGAAATGTCTCACAATTAAGTCCTTGCGGACTCAGCCATCCCGTGCCGTTGACGCAGCCTTACTTTAAGCACAGAGGAAACTAATTTCGTGCCAACGTTCCCTGCTGAAGCTTTTCTCAAGAGGGCACTTACCCTTCTCCTCATCCTCCGTCTTCTCCACGTTGTCGTCCGCCTTGACGACGGCACCTAAATTCAAACAGACGGTTCGGGGGCAGATGTGAGGTCAGGCAGCCCCCACCCGCCACGTTTCGGCTTCTGAATATCGTGGGGAAAGCGGCAGAGCAGCCCGTTGCCCTGACGAGAGCGGCCCCGCTCTGCAGGGGCACAGAACCCCGAGTTACTGCTTCCTCCGCGCGGCCAAATTAAGTTCATCAACCACACCCACAGCTTTTTGCCCCTGAATCCAGAAAAACGCAATTTTAAGAAGCGAGTCCAGTGTGACAGCGAGATATTTGCTCAACGCTGCTCTTGAATCCTACTTTTATGTTTCTCTCTTCTGGAATTTCTCCGCTAATTGAGCACCTGCTTGGGTTAGCAGCGCTCCAAAGCCAATGCAAAACAAACTTCTACGTCCTTTCTAAGAGCGGTCGCGGGGCTGTAACTCACCGTTGGCATCTGGTTTGGTTTTTTCCTCCTTCAGGTGCAAGCTGCTCAGCTACGAGGGAGGAAAAAACACAAGATCACAAGTCGTTCAGGGGCTGCCGGTGCCCCTGTGTTACCACTGGCCGAGAAAACCTGAGCCTCATCCAGGCTTCCAGATTTCCCACCTGCTAAAACTACTGCCCAGGGAACACTCATGGTCCGAGGCAAACGAGCAGAAGGCAGCAAAAAGAACTTAGATTTCAAGAATTTGAAAACAAATATCACTTCTTCTAAGTCGCAGTGACAGTATGGAGACAGGATTTTGTTTTTTGTGGAGATTTCTCAGCTCTGCTGAGGACAAATGGGAGAAAATTGACATTCCAGCAGGGAAAGCAGAGCCAGAGGCAGTCCTGGCCGATGGGACAAACCCCTCTGGCCTCGTTTTTCCCCAGAAATGAACTCTGAGGTCTCTCCCGACTCAAACTGTTCTGGGATAAATGTGCCATGAGGATCCTGCGGGACGCGTGAGCAGCCGGGCTCGTGCTCCCCACAGTCAAGGCAGTGCTTGAGCAGCTCGGAATTAAAACCCCCAAACCACAGAAAGCAACATCTCAAACAAATTCAGATCTTATTTTAAAAAATTAGAGAAAAAGGAGGGAGGGAGGGAGGGGAGCCTGGAAGGGGCTCTGTGAGCAGCTCTGCGAGCTGTGCCTGGGGGGACACACAAACCTCTCCGCCCTTTTGACACTCGAATGGAAAGGGGGGAAATCATAATAATATTAAAAAGGAATAAAGG